TCCACTGACCATCTACCTTCCCTCCACTGACCATCTACCTTCCCTCCACTGACCATCTACCTTCCCTCCACTGACCATCTACCTTCCCTCCACTGGCCATCTGCACCACATCGCACCTCCACCCTCTGCCTACGGCTCACGCGCATCCGCCAACACAAGCTCCGACGCCTTCTCGCTCAGCATGAACGTGGCCACGGCAGGAAAGGCACCCGGCAAGCGTGGAAATGCGCTGGCGTCCACCACGCGCAGCCGCTCCACGCCTCGCACCCGCAGCCGCGTGTCGAGCACGGCAAGCGGATTGCTGTCTGGCCCTACCGAGTTGGAGCTCGTCGGGTGATGCCCGAAGATTTGGTCCTGGATCCACTGCTTGTCTGGCGTTGCGTCGTCGCAGAATCCGTCCTCCTTGATGTCCTCTGCAGGACACGGCGGCTCCCTGGGCCTCACCGGTCCCACGGGTGCTTCCGTGTTGAAGAATGTCCTACGACCAAATGACACAGTGTCCAATATCGCCCCGACATCCGTTTCAGCACCCTCGGCGAAATGGTTAAAGTTGATCTCCGGCACATCCTGCGGGTTTGCAGACTGTATGCGAACGTATCCCGCGCGATTCTGAGTGTGCATCTTGACTGTAGACCAGGACATTGTCTCAGGAGGGTCACTGAAGGTCTGGTTGGTGGAGGGCTTGAACCCCCGAAAAGCTCCGCCGGGGGTAGAAAACAGCAGCACGTCGCGCTCTCCATCGCTTGAGTGGTTGGTCTTGAGTAGCACACAGTACGCATTGCCGCCGGCCCGCGCGTACGGCCCCGTGCCCTGCTTCCATAGCTCGACACATGGATCTCCAGGGGCGCCGAGTGTACAGTTTGGTGCGCTTGGATCGACAGGGTCGAGCATGCTTTGATGTGCCAGTCCAACGACCGGCAGTTCGTAGTTCTCTTGCAGATTGGCACCAACGCCTGGCAGATCAACGACAACAGGAATGCCATGCCTCTCGAGTAATGCTCTTGGTCCTACGCCAGAAAGCTGCAGTATCTGGGGCGAATTGAATGTGCCTCCAGCAACAATGACTTCTTTTCGCGCAAAGGCCCGGCCCGTTCTACCATGCGTGCCATTGTATCGCGTGTCGCCCTTGTACACTGACGGTCCTTCGAGATACTCTACGCCGATTGCTTTGGGCTTTTTGTCCGCTTTTTGGTCGCTGAACAGGACTCTAGTCGTGAGCGAATGCAGCTGGAGATGCAGTAGGAACTTCAACGTTCCATTTCTATATGTCTCCTTGCTTGTGGCGAGGATACGATCACGCGGACTAAATCGCTTCCATGTCTTGGTCACATGGAACGGGAGCGCAAAAAGTCCCTGTGTCTTGTCTCTTCTTTCGTCCAGGTAGTTTGCGTCACTGACGAGGTAGTCAACGACCTGGGAAGGGTCTTTGCCGAGAAGTCTCAACGCAGCCTCGATGACTTTGATCTTGGGACTTTGCACCGAATACAGGCTCCTGTCAGCTATGTTGGTCTGCAGCCAGCCGTCGAAGCCGTGGCCTGGCGTGCCAGCTTCCAAGTAATTATTGTGCTCAATTTTCTCAAAGACGCGTCGCATGTCTCTGCCACTGAGTACTTGTAGTCAGCTCATCACGCCGTTCAGTTAGACCAATGGTAACAAACCTCCATACGCCATCTCCAACATCTTTGTCGAAAAGGTCCCAATCGCTATCGCTTGGTAGAAACGTCGCCGCAGCATTGACAATTGCACTTCCTCCCAGAGTAGCCCCCCTTGGGTAAAACACACCAAGCCTCACTGCATCGAGATGGCCTTCAGGCGCGGGATCTCTCCCTACCCACAACTCGCCGTTGTTCAATTTCCACACCATCAGGTTGTACCGTTTTGCGCGCTCGATATCATCGCTATGTTTTACGAAGAAGCTCCAGTTGACAGATGATGAGGAGCTGAGGGATCCAAGACTCAAGATCTGAGTGGTGATATCATCCGATTCATCACCGCCTGCCTCGATCAAAAGAACGGAATAGCCTGCGCGTGCGAGGTTGACTGCGATTGTTCCTGGCAGAAAGACATACAATAAGCTATCCTCGTCCTTTTTGTCTGCGCATGGGATCAATTACCTCCACCAGGTCCGGAGCCGGTCACTACGTAGTCGTAAGTATTCGTTCCGTTCGCCACCTGTTCTTCTGCGCGGTGCCGAGGGTACGTAAAAGTTGCGAGTGTCGCATGCTGCAAAGCGCAAAACAATAGCAAATGATCAAATAATTTCATTGTTCCGTTCGTCACTCGAGTTGAGTTAGAGCATAATCATCCACTCTGGACGCGGCGGGGTTTCACCCTTCAAGACTTCCAATGTCAGAAGCGTTCAAGCATTTTATAGCAAAGCAATCATGGTTTATTTACCCGGCCCTACACCGATCAAAGTACATTGCGATTTGCGAAGCTGCAGCATTCAGAGATGTGCAGCCATTGCCTCACCCTTAATATGACATTGGTCGTCAGCTCATGCAGGTACCCCGTAAGCACGTTTATCGCATTTAAGCGGCTCGGCAGTCCCTTGTGTGGTGACATTAAGCTTATGGGGTTGCGAACAGGCGAGGCCAACGCAAATGGAGTATTTTTCGTAATAAAAGACTTGACTTCTCGCCAAGCTCATACGTTCCCAATTCCCAGCTCCCAGTTCCAAAACTCCATGACCAGAGTATCTTGCATTCGTCGTCAAAGATGCCCTGTGCGGTAATGTCAAATCAAAGAGGCCAGCTGCGTCTGCGCCGGAGGCTTGCGCTTCCTGGAGATGCTTTGCTTCTCAAGTCATATTCGAAACCCACTCTTCATTGCTATCCTTGCAACCGAAGAGGCTGTAAAATTGCGGACCCGGGGGGATAGATTCGCGCCGTGGAGCGGTGAAGTTGTCAAATTGTCTCTGTGAGACGTCTCGCGAACATTTGCAACTGTTGTATTTGCCAGCAGCGCACACTATGGAGCCACTCGGATTATGGTGATCATGTGACCTGGGCGAGAAGCATTTTTCCCTGTGTTTGCTGAATTATAAAATCGTTGAACCATATACTTCAGTGATCGAGTGCTTCATGGTAGGATCTCGCCACGTCATCATCTGTCGAGATACTGCCCAAGTCGTAACATTGCCAACGCTAAGTTCTGATGCAGCACGGTGAGCAGGCAGCCATGTCCAAAGGCAAACTTGATGGGGACTCCGTTACACTAGAGGAAGGAGGGATGTCGTCTGAGAACTGATGGACAATGATGGTGCGAGGGCATACCTAGTGTCCACTTAGGCAGCCCCGGAGCTTGTGGTACACTCTGCCAACAAGGATGATCTTGTACTAGGTATGCATAAAGACAGGAGTATGTGTTACATTTATTGAGTACGCTTGAGCATACCAACAGTAGATAGAATCACACAGAATTACTGACCGAGCTTCCAGAGTAGAACTACACGTCCTCAACTCACCCTTCCACTGCCAACATTCCCGTCTTCTCGCTCACCAGACACAGAAAAAATGCTAAAATTTTACAGCTTCCCGTCACTGCAAACCCTAAACCGACCCAGCAGACCAGTTCCACAACTGTCACGGCCATAATGCTCGTGAAGATCAGTGTGCCCGCAATATAATAGACGCCCCAGGCCATCTGCACAGGCCAATCTTCATCCGCACCTGGGACTGCCGAAACAATCTTCTTCTTCTCTTCGGCTCGCACCTGCGCCACATCTTTCGCTAATAGAGCATCTGAGCTCGCAAGGTGAAGCTGCACTAGTCGCCTCTCGTGTTTCGAGCGCCTAACGGCAGCAAATAGCGCGTGCATAGTCGCAGGCAGAAGCGCAACGACGTACCAAGACGCAACAGTGGCAGGATATGTACAGCCCAGCGCGCTACGCTTGCTGTAGATCTCCATAATGACCATCCCCGCGTAGCTGGCAAATACACCCACCCAACATACGAGAATGACCATGATGATGCTGCTTCGACTCATCGCCCACGCTCTTTTCGCTAGCATGTTGTTTTCCCTGCTGCGTTTCCTCGTCTCTCTCGCGTCGCCTGTTTCCAGTGGAACGAGTCCCAGCGCAAGGACCAAAACCTCGACCGCCCAATTCAACCGCTTCGTTACATGGATCAGTCTTCTTTCAGGCCAGGCAATGTCTTTGAGTGTAAGTGGGATGAGACCCATGACAAGAGCGGTGGCAGCAAACTGTTGCTTCCGCGACTCCCCCGCAGCTTCAAGGAGGCAGTCTGCAGCAACCCAGCAGCGCTGCCTGGTGCCGCGGAAGAACGGCCAGTAGAAGTAGGGTTTGAAAGGGGAGTAGACAAGGGTATCTTCGGCGTTATCCGGGCATTGGCCAGATTCAATGCGATTTCCGCCGGTTGCACCCTGGGCAGACACCAGTAGTGAAAAGAGGAGAATGGAAATCAAAGCGATATGGTTCCGGAAGGGTTGTTGTGCCGACATATCGGACAGTATTGTGCGTCGCCAGGAGCTTACAGATGCGCAACGCTCGTAGAAGCTTCGATACAAGTCGAGATACGGTGCCGGTATCGGTTCACTGCAATGCTCTGGATCAGTCCTCAATGTGATGTTACTGTGTGCTTTGCTGTTCTGTTGCAGCGAATGTCGTCAACGTGGTCAAATCTCTTCCAAAGCGTTCGCGCGTAATCGTTGACAGCCTACACATGCGACTGAGGAGCGACATCTTGTATTATATAGGCAGGCGTGTCACTTAGGCATATGCGGCGTAGTGCGATTCCACCCTTGCTGTTGGTTTCCGCCCCCACCACAAGCAGGCGTCACCCACCAACACAGTGGTACGCTTGATACGTTCTGACGACAACAGACCCACACCGATTTTCTGCATTAGGAATCAATGCTTTGACAGTAAGCGCCGTAAATGTGCGCGCATGATGAGTACCCAGCCACATCGAATCCTTCCATACGATTTGGGTTAAAGGTGCTCAGTTTATCTGACATCTGGCCGCGATTGGTAAGAGATCTGGAACGTGCATGGACCAACGAAGAGCATGTTGAAACAGGACCACGTGTGTAAAGCGTTCATTCAATTCAAAAGAAACTGTGAGAGGCGCCATTTTGCACCTTTGCTATCCTCAATAGCCCATAGGCAAGTCGCTGTTACATAACACATTGGAATCCGAGCCATCCGGAAAGTGGAATTGGTTCACAAATTTACAGATCTGACTCGCCAGAAGCTCCATCGTGTGGTGAATACGGCGAATGCGTTGGCAGCGCTGTAATGCGCGATGACTTAGCCGTATCTTCGCTTGAAAATATAGTACAGGTATGAGAAGCCAGAGCATCGGATATAGCATCGTACACGATGGAAAAAGAGGCACTCACCCCACCTATCCCTGCAGTGTTTCTGGCTCGGAACTGCAGAATGTTCAGGCGAACACTACACCATGTTCTCATCCTCGACTTCACTCTTCTTGTCCGGCCACCACTGCGTTGCCTGGTCATGTACACCAATGAAATCGAGCACATGGTTGTCTTCGTTTGGCTTGCGAGTCGTGCCCGTGAGCAGTCGTCCCAGGTCAGCTCGCAGATGCAAGAATCCGTTACCCAAGAAGACCACGTCCATAGTGTACCCTTCCGAAGCCGTTTTGATGGTAGTGATGCGGAAAGATGCATGTGGAGGGGCTTGGAAAGCCAGAATGCTGAAAGCCATGGTGCGAGGCGGGAGTTGCATGCGTGCGGTGAAAGTATTTTTGTGCTTGAACCCTGCGATGGAGGATATGACGAGGCTGCGCTGACCGTAGCCATATTTGTCGAAATGTGTTTCGGCATACCTGGGAGAGTACAAGGCCCATCTGCCCTCAATGCAACCGATAGGCACAGGTATACGGGCCTTTGTAGCCAGCATAAGCAGATCTTCGGCGCGTTGAGATTGGTTGTTAGCTTCGTCCAGCTTCGCCACATCATCAGCGGGAGTGTCGAGCTGCGCAAGAATCTGCATATTCTCGTCCTTGCTCAATCGAAGAAGTTCTTCTTTCTTTGCCGAACAACCAGTCATCTTGTGCAAGCAAGGTACCTGGCCTTGATCGCGCCTAGCATCCCACTCTAGGTGCTCTTTGAGGTATTGATCCTCCTCATCGAAGTTCACGATCTTAGTAACCTCGCGATATTTCTCAGTGAAGATGTCAAGCGGAATTCCTTCACGGGCCTCACGTGTGCCTTGTGGCTTGTCACTGGTAGTGATAAAGGGGTCCCTCTCGGCTGCCGAGCGTACAAGCGGTTTCCCAACGCGAGCGAAGGCTTCTACAATGCTCATTGAGGCAGACGATGTGGGGAATGAAGCAACAGTAGATGTTCCTGTTTTCGTGCGAGGCCGTGGCTTGGTCCCATCAGCCAAGGGTTTCTTAAAGCTCCGCAGATTAGCATCAGTGAGCGCATTCGGCACAGCAGGAAGCTTGGACACCGTCTGAGAGAATTCCAGAGCTGCAGGTGCAGTTGAAGGAGCCGGTACTTCGCCATTAGGTGTAGGGGAGGAAATAAGTCCGGTCTGAGGATAATCATTAGAAAGGCTATACTCGGCGGTGACAGTGTCGTTCCTCCCCTCCACGTTTGTAGGAAAGGGCACGGGCGTCCTCCTTGGAGTCTTGGACGGAGGTGTCTCCGGGACAAGAAGGTCAAAACGCGGAAGGTCGTCTCCATTGTTCTTGTGGGCCTTGCCAGCGGGATTGGCTTCGGGCGTTCGGAGCTGAGGGAATGGAATAGGCGTCTGTTTCGCGACCCGAGCAGGAATCGGGCGAGGGGTAATTGGGCTGCTGACCAAATCTCTTGTGTCTTGATTCTTTTTGTGTTCTTTCACCTTGAACTCGTCTGAGCCATCGACACAGTCACGCGGCACTAGCAACGGCAGCTTTGAGAAACCGTTTTTAGCTGCTGCCTCGGAGGGCCCTGGGACCGACTTCACTACCTTTCGCTTCGTCTTGTGCTCTCTCAGCTGGCCAGGGTCAGGACCAGGACCTTGTGCAGACTGGACATGCTCGGTCGTTTTCTGCTGGATATTCTGGCTTATGCGCTTCGTCTTCCTCTTTGACGGCTGATCGATTGCTTGCGCCTCCTGTCGTGGCTGCTTTGGTGGCGAAGGGCCAAAGCGAGCCAGAGAGTTTAGTTGCTGGCCGGCTAGGTATTCTTCTCTCACGAGCTGGGCATTTACTGTCGAAGCGTGCGCCTCGCTGTCTCTCTTGCGCTTCTTCACTGCGCGGCACTCCTGACCATCGTTGTTCTTGTCGCTCTTCTGGCCCCTGGAAGGCGGGTCCGGGGTTACATCAGCGGCGCCGTGCGTGCCTTCGTCGGAACGACGGTGCTTCTTCTTATGCTTTCTGTCCTTCTTCTTCTTCTTCGTCTTGAATAGATCATTGTTGGCGGGTGTGGCCTCGGCTCTATCAAGCAGACGCTCGAGCTCAGCATTCTTGTCGCCATTCAGCGACAACAGTCGCTTCTTGTCCTTCCTCGCAACCTTTTCCCTGCTCTCGGCATCGGGACCAACAGCCTCGGTTGCCGGAGTGCCGTCTATATTTGCAGACAGGGCAGGATCCGACGCGGCAGCTTCATCTTGATCACCCTGGAAGTTGTTGGAGTTGTAAGTCTTAGACTTAGTTCTTCCACCGTATAGGTGGTGGCGCGGCAGGGAGTACAGGCCAAATGGCGGCATGGCTGCTGTCGCCCAGTATTGTTAATACTTTTGATATACCAAGCTAGATGCGCCAAAGTATCGCACCTGCTGTTCACTCGAGCGACGCGGGCGCGTGGCGCACTGGGATGAAATCAAGGCGTCGCCGTCGGCAGGCAAACATACGCACGGGACTGCGATAGTGTAAGAGACGCAACGCGACTTGCAGAAGAACAGCATGTGTACCTTGCGCAGCGCAGATGAACAGTCAGTGACGCGCCTCGAAGAGCGCGGCAACCACTGGCGAGATGCAGGCGTGTACGCAACCAAAAAGTGCTACGCATGCAGAGTAATCATATGAGATAAAGAGAGAGCGCGCGAGAGCCGCAGTGCGTCGAGGCCTGGCAGGCTACCGGCAAACGAACTTGGGCCGCGGGCAAGTGAAGGACACGCAGGTCGCGTCGTCATATCAACGACGCAGTTGCCCTGTTTGGTAGACGCTATCCCTTTTACTTTCACTCTGGCCTTGCCCGAGCCCCTCAACCAGGAAGACGCATACATACTGTTCCACAGGCGCCAAAGGCCGGATAGCCCTGTGGAGATGAAGGTGAGAGCTCGTCGCCAGCGCCGTGGAGAATACGATATCACTCTGGTACTGCACGGGCCTTTGCCCCACCTACAACATGCAGCCCGGCTCGTGAGTATCATTGCATCCATGTCAGTAGACCTTTAAGACAGCGAGCGCTTGGAATATGGTAGATCGGTCTGCTCTACGTGAGATGCGGCTCCAGGATTAGAATATTTTACCACGCTCCCATCTCCCACGTTATAAGTGACTAAGATGACCATCGGATCGTGTGACACAAAGCCACCATGCGGTGCCCCTCGGCTGTGTAACCTAGGACAGCAATCTACAGCTGTGCTTTCAATTTGGCATTCTCGCGAAAGCGCTTCGGCCAGATTCCCTGTTTACCGGGCGACAGAATACCGTTAGGATCGAGAGCATCCTTGATAGTCTCTACAAATCTTCGGTATGCATGATCGTTGAAGTCGTACAACGAAGCAACAAGGTCTACAGACTATGAGCTCGATGCATGATTCGCCTGGAGTGATGACTTACCCATGGTGTTGATGTGGCTTCTATATTTGCTGAAGCCTCTCCTCCTGCCCTCTTCAAACAGATTCATGAAGATGGTCTGCACTGCTCGACGATGGTCGACGTTGGTCTTGTCAAAAGTCATCATGTTGACGAAGATAACATGACGCTCGTGCATGAAGAAATCGCAGAACAGATCAAAGCCCTCAGCCTCGCATACCCTACAACTTCTTAGTACAGTGCCTCAAACTTGACACAGAATGAACCACGTAGTAAATCGCAACATAGAGTATGTTGTGAGTTGAACCTACCTCTTTGAAGCCCTGACCCAATCCAACACAGTGCCGCCGTTTGAAGGAATGATGGGACTATAATCGTAGTGTGCCCCAATCCCCCCACCTTCCTTAGGCAATCTGAACTTCACCATCGGCAAGCTCCACAAGCTCGGTACGCCGACGAAGAATCCTCCATGGGGCTCACCAACACTCGCTGGATCCAACGTGTCCCCATTGTCGGCTGAAAACATCTCCCCACTCAAGCGTCCTTTTGGCGCCTGCATAGCCACAATTCTCTTCAGCTCTTTGAAATGTGCCTGGACCACCTGTTTTGCCCCGTACAGTCCGAATTTGGCGTTCCAGTACCCGAGGTTAAGTTGCGCCTGGAGTTCCTTCAAGCGCCATTCCGGTATGGCGCCTCCTTCCGGCCATATCTCTTCTCGTTTCCCCATCATCCCCAACCACTCGACCAAATTTGACACATACACAGTGTTGGGCAGTAAACCATCCCGACGTAGCGGACCGAAGACGTTGACGATGGTCTCCACGTCTTCGAAATCAGGCATGTCAAACGTGCAAGACATAAAAGCCTGCGGTGCTGGCGTAAGCCATATCCCTAACTTGCAAACGATTCCTAAATTTGACTGTAGGAACAAACCCTCGATACTTGGTCCAAATGTGAACTTGGAAAGATGCGACGATGGCGACTCGGAGACGGCAAATTGACCCGTACGTACAAGCTCGCCGTTGGCAAGCATGACTTCAATCCCACAAATGTGCTGGTGATGCGTTGCCGTGGGCGTGAAGCCTGTTCCACGGTCCAAGGTATTCCCGATTACGGAGCCCTAGATGTAAGGGGTGCATGGTCAGTGGAACTCAAATCAGGGTCGGGCGATACTTCGTGCAGAATTCATTGTTCTCTGCGAACGAGACGCATGCCTTGTACGAGCAGGATGACTTACCCATCCCAGTGACGGCACGGAAGGCCAGACTTTGAGCTTATGCGCGACACAATAGTCGTACAGCTCGGTGAAAGTGACGCCAGGCTCAACGACAGCATAGGCGTACTCTGCGTTGACTTCGATAATTTGGTTCATACGGTGGAGGTCTAGGGCTATAGAGCCATTGACACGGGGTGCCGGGCCGCCATATCTGTTTCCAAGTTGGGTCAGATTCAGATCACTGTGCGGCGAGTACTAAAGGTAGGATGGACTGACCCGAGGTTTTTCCCTCTCGAAAACGTCCAAAGCGGGATCCCATATTCGTTTGAAATGGCAAGTACGCGTTTGAGTTCTTCTAGATTCCCGGGTCTCACTGCAGCGCTCGGCATCTTGCGCTTGCCTTCTGCCTCCCATAGTTCATAAGGATCAATGTATTCTGTCAGCGCATCACCTTGGAGTACCTGTTTATGCCCTACTACTGCCATGAGTTGTATAATTGCTGCGTCGAATGCATATTGTGTAACTCCCGGGGGTAAAGTGCTTTTGAGCGGTGTTGTGATAGAGTCTTTGAAGAGGTTGTAATGTGTGGATTGGTATTCTGCATTAACGTATGCTGGTGATGGTAGAGGCGGCATAGTGAGGTAACCTTGAAGCAAAATCAAGCGTCGTGCACAGATGTTGGGCGGGTAAGCGACTTGTACAACCTAGTCAACCTACGTTGGGGATTGTGGATTATGGATCGATGGGGGAGGTGTTTCATGTTAGGGTACCGGTAAGCTTCCCCACAATGCGGAGAAGTTTGGACGCGTTGCGACCCCACATCTCCAACTTTGAACCAACATGACCCTGTGGCCTGGGACCCACATTCAAATTCTGCTAATGGGCTGCTAGCAACTTTGCGTATGACACGATGCCATAGGTAGCAGTTGACTATATGGCCACCTTTTTCTTCTAGCTTGGTCTACGCGTGAGATAGACAATAAGCCAGTCGTAGATTATCCGCTGGGGATGAGATCTCGCTAACGATATCTGTCCGCCTTCTCTAACTATCCGTTGTGGGAGAATGGCGATTTGTTACTATAGAGCAACATGTGCCATGGGTTGTATAGACAATGATCCGAGCTGTCTTCATTAGTTGGGCGCAATTACCTTTGCAGTGCTATGCCTAACTCAAGCGGAAAACAAGCTAGAGGAAAGAACATTGTCACTACCATTGGGGAAGCAGAGGTCGTAGGAGCAGATGGACTCTGACGTGACCGAGCTCATTTCTGATCAAGGACTTCCTAGCCACAAGCGCCTGTCAGAAAGCTTGTGTAGCGCATACATTCATCATTCTTCTCATGTACCGTATTCAGGTGGCTCTGTGCGTAAGGCCCAAGCCCATATCCTTTAACTCGTCCCACAAAATTCGGAGCCATAAGCCAGAACATCAACCCATCCATGTATAGGAGAGATACACCACAAGTGGGAATCTTGGATATGCTTTGAGTGCAAAGGGGGTCTCAAGATATCGCTCGTTGCCTGCTAGGCTATTGTGATTGACCGGGACTCAAGCGTTAAGCTTTGAGGATGCGCCTGAAAGAGTCGGCTTTGGGAGGCAGAGATGGATAAGAGTCCTCCCTTCCAGCGGCTGTCTTGCGTGGCGCGAAGCTCGTCGGCAAGCTCGCCTGATTGTGTCTCAGGGCGCGCAGTATGCCCCTATCGTACCTCAGCAGCACGCACCTATGTCACCAAGACCCCTACAAGCATAGAACAACTCACTCCACGTGCCTCCCGCGCCTCGGCTACATCGTGAGCCTGCGTCCCATCTTGACCATGATACGCTTTCAGATGCTACAAGCCAGTCTCGTATTTCCCATGGAAGTGAGGATCAAGCCTAGTTGGAAAGCGCACCCCCGAATGGTCGGAATCAGGTTAGTAGTCCAATGGAACTGGACAGTTAGGGGTGAATTGGTGAACAGCTGCTGGCAAGGGGTGGATGGGTGGACTCGAGGCGACTCACCATCATAGAAAGCGGACGAGGATATTCAGAGGGCTTGCCAGCAACAGAAGCGCCCATTTGGCTGGGCACGCTTGGGAAGATGCCTCAGCAAACGGTGCATGTCAGTCTAACACAAGATTCCATGTCGAGGTTTCAGACACTGTACGAGGTCAAGATATCATCGGTGGGCTTTTACGACCACATTGAGTGCGGCTCTCGGATGCTTCATCTACGAGCTATGCTTTACCTAGGTCTGTGTGACTGTCTCCTCTAAGCCTTTCGACCGGCGCCTTTTTCGATCGTCAATGTAGATAAAAACACATGCGGCCATCCATAGAACAGTAGAAGCAGCCAATCGGGGAGAAAACAAGGGCAAGGGCACTTGACCCAGTATATGTAGATATGAATGGGTGGAGGAATGGCTGCAAACAAGCCCGGCAAGTTCCGGGTATTAGAAGAGGAAGTGGAACGAAGCAAGGAGAGTCGTTAAAGTCGTAAGATCGTAGCCGTCGCAGAGCCAAGACTGGTGCTGGGTAGACGAACAACCAGGAGCACGCAGCCTGCAGGCCAGCTATGCGCCAAACTCCGTAAGCAAGACCGTCTAGGCACAAAAGGCAGAGTTCAACAAGCAGGGGCTAGGGTGCGTCGTCGTCGACGAAGACGCCCCAGAAATGTACTTCTTCGTTCTCTCGTCCGGCCAGGGGCGCGCCGTAGACGTCGGCGCACATCTCGATGGGGACTTCGAGCTTTAGGCAGCCGTGGCCGAGAAAGGTGAAGAGCAGCCACGAGTCGTAGGGCGGGAAGGCGCCGTGGTCGGCGGGCTTTCTGCTGAGGATGCCGCGGTTCTGCAGGGAGGGGGTGCGGGGCACCTTGAAGGCGTGGAAGGGCAGCGTCTCGAGGGCGTCGGCCACGAAGAAGGACGAGCCCAGGGCCAGCTCGAGCGACACGGGGCCCTGGTCGGGCGCGCGGGAGGTGGGGGGCGGAGAGGGGTCGCAGTGGTGGAAGCGCACGGTGCCGAGGCGCAGGTCGACGGGCTGGCCGAGCAGGTCGAACAGCTCGGTCGAGTACAGGCGGAAGTAGCCGTGGTGGATGGCGCGCAGGTCGTCGTCGTCGTGGGCGGCCGCGTCGTGGCCGTCGCGGGCGGCGTGGAGCAGCTGCTCGACGCGGCGGCCCTGCGCCTCGGCCGCGCTCAGCGAGCGGCGGATCTCGAGCTTGGTGTGCCTGGCGCCGAGCTCAGCGAGCGCGAGCGTGCACGCCTCGCGCCGCACCTCGTCGTCGCGCCCGTCGACGTCCCGGGCGCGCAGCAGCCGCGTCTCGAAGCGCTGCACGAGGGCTTCGAAGTCGCGCAGGGCGCGGGCCAGGGGCGAGCCGGCAGCCTTGCTCGCCGGCGCGCGGTCGGCGTCGCCCTTGAGCGCGGCCATTCGCGCGGGGCAGTCGCGGGCAGCGTGCTGTGCTGGGCCGTGTGCGGGCGGGGGCGGCGACGACGACGACAAGGGCGTGAGCGGGCGGTGGGCGTGCAGAGCCGCGGGGCGAGGGCAGCGGCGACGGCTGCAGCGCTGGGCGGTGGCAGGGCAGGCAGGGCGGGGCGGGGCGGGGCGGGGAGCGAGGGCGGCCGTCACGGAGCGTCGACAGAGGGCAGCGTTGCGCAGGTCGACATGACATCTGAGCAAAACATGGGGATGCGGACGTCGTCGACATTTTGCACTTGCATCGCAGAAGGCGTCGCCAAGCACCGCAGCGCGCCCCGGATGCAGGCGCAGCTCCCCGGCCAATCACGCTGCGCCTCGCCGCGCATGCTGGTGCCATGCCGTGCCCGGCGCGCAAGCGGCTTCCTCTCGCGCTCGCTGCGCACCGTGGCCGACACAGACGCGACTCTTGTCGCGGTGAGTATCCCGGGCAGCCTACCGAACGACGGGTTTACAATCGTACAGCGGCGTCCGCCCGGAACAGGCGTGCTCGAGACGTCGAGTTGGGTGCGCCAGCCACTGTGGCTCGTCGCCGCCCGCCCTGCCCAGTGCTGCGTTCTGCTGCTCGCTAGACGTGCTCCACGCTCCCCAGAGACGCGCGCGCGCAGCCAGCGCACCCAAGGCACGCCAATCACCGCACCCAGCCCGCCCCGACGCTGCACGCACTGGCAGCTGGCCCGGGCGCCCTCGTCCGAGCCACTGTCGTTGCCCCGTGTCGCCGCGTCTGCCTGTGCCATTGGCCTGCCGAACCCGGCCCCGTCCCGCGAAGCCCTCCGTCTCGGCCTCTCGGCCCGCGTCCTGGGGGCCTCCGAGCATGCCGCAGCGCTACATATGTCTTATGGCGCGCCCCAGACCTCAACACCGCACGCGCCTGCGCTGCTCAGCTTCCATCTCGCCCGCACCGGCCTGCTGCCATGCCACGACCCATCGCGCCTGCCGTCGACCATGCCGGCAGAGCAACAGCCGGACCGCCCTCCTGCACCGTGACCACCTTCACAGCCCGGCGCCGCTGACACCATGTCGGCAAACGCGCCGCGCTCGCAGCAGAACCGTCGTCCACTTGCCGTCCCATCCTCCCTACATGCCCTCGCCCACGCCTGCGGCTGACTCCGGTCAGATTGCCTAGCAGCACGCCGTGCCCGCCCACAGTCGTCCTCGCCACCCCAGCTCCGTGGTCACGCTGGTCCGCAGTAGCTGACGCCTTTTCCAGTTCGTTCTGAACTAGCCGCTAGGCCGTGTGCAGGATGCAAGCTTACAGCGCGAATTGTGAGGGCAGGGGTGCAAGCTTACGCCGTTGCCTCTGCTGAAAGCTGAGGTGGCACTTCCACGGCACCTGTGATCCATGCTTTCGTCTTGTGGAATGTCGTGCCAATTCACTTGCCATGTCTGTTCGCACCATCTGATCGATCCGACATCCATCTTTCGGTCAAGGGCGATGGGGGGCCAGCAATAGAGTACCACAGCACGCATTCCACATGCCACCCATGACACTCATGAGCTGCCTTTAGACCTTCTCCTGCAGCTTAAAAGATATACCTTGCCCCAATGAAGCCTTCAGATGCGAGCAAGGACTTGTGCGTGAAGCCATTGGTGGCACCCTCCGGCGCTCCTGGGAGCGCCCGGCCATGGATACTGTGACGTAGCATGGCTTCGGAGGCCTTTCAGCAAGTTTAGCGGCGCGTTGTCGTGCCTCGGGTGGTGCGATTCGTCCCTCGTCAGATCTAACATGATGCGACGTTCCAACATCCCAATCGCTCGGCTATGTTCATGCGCGCTCGACACATCAAACATGCAGTGTTTCGCAAATCAACGATCCAGAACGTCACCAATGGGCAAAGTCCAAAGCATCAGTCTTCCAAACCATCGCCATCTTCCTTGGTCGGTGCTATGATCTGGAAGTTGCAGGTACCATTTTTCTCCTAGTATGCTCGCATCCTCAGGCTTGCATCCTCTCTTTGTTGTACATCCTCCGCATCGCAGACATGGGCTCGCTTTATGAGCCATCTGTACGAGGCAGCACAATATCCGTCATCGGGCGACGCATATCGAAAAGATTCACGACCTTGGAAGGATGGCGCGAAATTGGGTCCGGCGTGTATGCCATGGGGAGCTCGAACATTCGCATGTTTTCCTTCCGACACCAGTTTGACCCCGAGCATTCACAACATACCGGTTTCGACTTCACAGAGACTCTGGACAATGCACACGCAGCACAGACAACATTGTCAAGACGGCAAAGCCTTGTCGAACATCGAACTTCGTCGGAAGGGACAATTGGGAAGGCAATTGGATCGGTACGAGACCAGAAAACCACTTCAGTGATGGTGAGCGAAGAGCGCATTCAAGAGCCGTATCATTTGTACACTGTGAAGGAGAAGTGGGTCTTGGTGGCAATCGCGGGTGCGGCCGCCTCAATTCCAATGCTCACGTTCAACATGTACCTCCCGGCTCTGGGAAGAATTGCTACGGTATGAAACCCGCGACAAAACCGAAGAGCTGCTACTAACGATAGCAAGGATTTGGAGATCGGTGCTGAGGCTACCAACTTAACCATCATGGCGTATTTGATGATGCAAGGGGTTGCGCCGCTTTTTTGGGGTCCTCTGTCTGATAGTTTCGGTCGCCGATCGGTCTACCTCGCTACCTTTTCGCTCTACGTTACCTCCTGCGTAGTATTGAGTTTCTCACCAACTTACGCGGTCCTGTTGTTCTTTCGCATGGCACAAGCAGCCAGCATTGCATCCAGTGTGTCCATCGGATATAGCATCATTCGCGACATCTCCACGCCACCCGAGTGCGACCGGTTTCACTGCTTTTTCCAAGGTGTCCGTAACGGAACCTTAGTTCTGTCGCCGATTCTTGGCGGGTTACTCTCCAATTGGACGGACTTTAGGTGTCTGTTTGTCCTCCTGTTCGCACTGGGAACAACAGTACTTGTTGCAATTGCCTTCCTACTCCCCGAGACGCTCCGCAGTATTGCGGGCAACGGCTCCGTACCGTTGGTGAACATACATGAGCCGTTGGTGTGGAAATGTAAGGTCTTTGGAAAGCCTGCACACACGAATGAGGGCTTGCAGCCTGCTGCAAGACCTATCACGCCAAGGAGGAAGTTTCTGGAGCCACTTTACCTTTTCCAAAATCGTGTTGTCCTCTTGAGCCTCATCTTCAACAGCATAGTCTTCATGATCTGGATGATGATGACGGTCAGCACAACTACACTTTTCGAGAAGGCATTTGGGCTCAACGGAGCCCTGGTCGGCCTGGCTTTTGTTCCCAACTTTCTCGGCGCCATCGCTGGCTCGGCTCTTATTGGCAACTTGCTGGACAACGACCTCAGACGCGCATACTCGGCATACAAACATGCGCATTTCCTCCCTTCGAACACCAGCCTTTCTCGGCACTCCATACCGACTGACTTCGCTCTCGAGCATGTGCGCCTGAGGCGTGTTCCAATATTCATCACTGTATTGGTCACTTCGCTTGCGTTCTACGGATACACGCTCGCATATTCCAGTCTGACGTCTCTGGGCGGCTGGATTTGTATACCTTTGTTGCTTCAGTTTCTCATCGCAGCGACAGCACATGCAATATGTGGCGTACAACAAACCCTTCTCTCAGACCTATGGCCAAGTGACGACTCGGATGCAGCGTCGGCTGCGAGCAACCTCGCACGATCCGTATTTGCTGCCATTGGTGTTGCCGTAGTGGAGAAGATCATAGAATGCATAAGAGTTGGACCAACATTCCTGGCTTTGGGACTTGTAGTAATGGTTTTAGTACCGTTGCCGATTGTGCAGTGGTACTTCGGCGAATCGTGGAGAGCGGCAAGAGGAGCAAACAGGGGAGGTGCGCCGACCAAGGGTTCCCGGACGACCAACGTGTAGCTTCTTTAATAGAGACCTTGACTGGTCCACCAAGCACCCGTGCTCAGCTATGTCTACGTCATTTGATGATCTCGTCGCATACCTGCCGAAAGGCCTACAGTGCGAGAGCCAGGATGAAGCCTGCCGCATGTCCGCAGACGTTAGAATGGGAGGGCTCTGAATTGTCTACAGACCTCTACACAGACGTGAACTGTGTTTGGGTTCGGAACATTGAAGTCCTAGATCCCGGCTAGAATCGCCTAGGTAGCGAACGGTCGTGGAACCATCCCACCCCACCACTACGCCTTTTAGCCCCCTCCCCCCAGACGAAAGCCTACTAACCGATCCAACTTCGCCCTCACCTTCTAGCCTTGAATTAGCTAGTCTTCACTAGCGCAGCAAACCACACCTCTCAGCATCTTCCCAAATGCGCAAGTCTTCAAAGTAGATTGAGTCCAGCCGTCCAACTAAGCTCAGTGTCGCACATGTCTCGCTCCGTGATAAATTCTTCTCTACGGGGCGCGTCCTCGGCATCTACCGTACTATGATTCGCAGGCTGCGCGAGGATAGAATTGCCACGCATTGAGCGGCGACACATGCGTGGTGGGCGAGAAGGCCAAAAGCTTACCCTGTAACGTTCGGCTTCCATACTGTTCCACTCAGAGCCCTGTGCCATATCGTCACTGAGGCTGTCATGCGTGCACAGATTCCGACCAAAGGCTTGGACGGCCAGTTTCATATGCACAGGACAATCTAGCTTAAAGACACACTAGAGATTCCACGTACCTCTAATTTATGAGGTATGGGGGTTGTATTCATCCACCTGTAGAAGTTCTACAGTGTAGTTTGCACACGAAGAAGTCGGCACAGGGCCTCCGTCTTGCCACTTGAGGAATAATATCGAGCAGCCTGCCAATGTGTTACTACTAATAATTTTTTCATTGTGGCCACCAGTTGCGGATGTTCTTGCTTACGGTAAGGGTGGTGGTCGTGATGGTGTGGTAAATGGTGTTAGTTTCGACTTCTAGCGCTAAATATCCGAATTGTTCCATGTTAGCGACGGATTATGATGTACTCCTAATTACAGAAATTAGAGACCGCCATATAGTTGCGAATACTGGGGTTTTCGGTCGCAATGCCTGGAACAAGATAACTCTCCGTACCAGAAATTTTGATGAGACACCGTTGGTCGAGTCGGAGATGTAACTTACAGCAAAGCGACGAGGAACACACGTCGCACCTCCCCTTTCGTGTAGGTACTAAGAGAGTTCTCCTTAAGTGGATTATTGGAACTGCGGCATATAGCAAACCCATAACTACATTAGAGCTTCCCCTGGATATATGCCATTGTTACATGCAACATGACTGACCAACAGCCGTGTCCTTGGGTTCTGACGTCCTAGCTTAGTTGTACGGGTTAACAGGAGGCCCAATGAGACATGACTAGCAGCGTGAGGTTGCATATCAGAACACCTAGTACAGTACTGTAGACGATTCATCGACAGATGTACATAAAGTTCAAGTCGAGAAGGTAAGCAAAGATGAATAATCCAGCAAGCCCGACATCGTAGGGTCTGAATGCTTCGGCTTAAAGTAAGAAGTCGAAATCTTGCGTTTGTTTCTGATACTGATGTTCATATCTAGGCGTCCCTCGCCGCTACACAGTCAAGCTAATACCCCTCCATGGCCTATCTCGGCGGACGGCTAAGGGCTTTAGTAATGTTGCTACGTGGATATGTAACATGATTCATACGATAGCGAGTATGATACAGCATTCACTCCAACCTGAAATTATAAGTTCGATTCCATCTTGAGGCGTTACACTCGGCCTGATCTAAGCGTGCATTGGTCTTACAGTAGACGATTAGTCTCCACATGCCGAAATAATTCATGAGGATAGTGGACGTCAGATTGACGGCTTTGCCTATTCCGGGCCAGTGTGTAGGACGGGTTTCAACAGCCACCATTAGGCCAATTCGAATAGTAAGGAAATTTTGTACGGAAATACAGCAGATAACAAGCACAGTAGAGGTGTCCAAAGAGCCTAGACATATACACGGAGCCCGGGAAGTCTTAAGCGTAGTCGAACGAGGAAGGAACGCATCTATAGAATGGCAAGGCTGTGTAATTAGGCGTTCTGGCCGAAGTGAAACGAACGAGAGTCTGATGCAGCAACAAACCATTGTTGGGCCTGCGAATGAATGATCTTGGCCATTGCCATTCATGTAGCCATTCTAAATCTGACAGAGCTTGCATGTCATTGTCATGCGCACAGTTTGGCAAAAGAGAGACCACAAGCAAAGCATATGACGAGAACATATAAGAGGATGCGCACATACAGGGAATTGACGGGCCGGACCGAGCTGTGGACCTTGTTCCTCGAGCTGCGCCATGAACTGTCAGGGATTGGCAGTAGGAGAGCCATGGGGCTACTTTCAGCTTACGCTGTCAACAGGGTCTGCATCTCCAACATACCCTCTGCTCTTTTGGTGAGTAGCACGCGTTTTTTTCGTGATAACAGAATTTGATAGACACCTATGGTATTCTTGCCGGCTTGGTAAATCTTCTGGGCACATATATTAAAGTCATTAAGTGCGCAAAAGTGCGCACCCGCAGGACTTTTGCATATATGCGGCGTGCAAAATCGTGCCGAGGTCGATGAAAGATTATCAAGTGTGAGGGGATGAACAAGTTCGTAGTCGGATGCTGCGGGGTTTTCCGCCACCTGACGTGGCTACCCCTGTAGGAAGCCGACTGAAGATGTAGAGACTCTAAACGAACACCCGTATAACTTGCTGCCTGACTTCGTGGCATTCGCATATTCTTACAAGCCGAAGTATCGTTGTTGTGCAACCAAAGCCACATCAGTCCACTGTACCTATGGTACGAACAAACCCGCAAAGGCTTCCTTGTTCCCGACTGTCGGGCAGGCACCCGACTACCGGGAACAAATCTGCATGCAGTCCCTTGTTTGGCTCTCCATCTTGCCTATGGCAGCTTTCCAAGGGACAAAGCGCCCACGTGTCAGATGCTTCTTTTACTATCCCTGCAGCCAAAAGGTGCGTAAACCCCCGGTGCCCAGAGCTTAACAGTAATAGTTAATCCTAATACGAAGGGTTTAGAGCCAGCATATTTTCGGAAGTTCGATAGTTGTTAGAGGCACTACCGATTTCGTGTTTCAAGCAGGCATCAGTGGATCCTCTTGTAATGTCAAGCTATTACGCTTAACGCAGTCTGCCTGCACAAATACCGCACAGCAGCGCATACCAAGCCCATGTCACCAGGCCCCCCCTCTCCTATTACCCAACAAGAGCCGAGCGAGCCGGACGTAGACCTGTATACAGTCTTTGCGCTATTCCCATACCATAGGTAGTTTGCAGTGGGTTTGGCACTTATCCCGGGTAGCCGGAGATATGCATGCATGTGGGTGGGGAGGATGAACGACCAGGGTCCACGGTCAGATGGATGGCAAGACATGAAAGACCTGGGAGCTGTACGAAACACGTCCAAACGCTACATTTGAAGTTGCGATTGACAACGCACATGTGCACGTAGCGCAGGAGGCGACAGCCCTCAAACCTGCAACGTGGTAGAGGCGAGCTCGCCTTATCACCATCAATTGATTGAACGTGCTTGTCCGTCCTCACCTGCATATGGTAGGTATCTACAGGTTCTCAGGTTTCCGGCACAGCGTCTAGCCACAACATTGGTACGAGATTTCGCCCGAAAGCTACCTAGGTAGGCTCTCGCACTTATATACAGCACCTTAGTCTTTAGTATACTGCCCTAGTAGTATTAGCTGACTTACAACTTCTATGAGGTATAGTGACTAATAAAACTAAATTT